CAGACTCTGCCCTGTGGGCAGGCTACATTCGATAGCCTGCAAGTTTGTCCAAAGTAGGAATGAGATGATAAGATGTCATAAAAGATGTCCTGATAAGATGTGGCGCGGCCGCATTTGCGGCCGCGCGGTTCCGGGAGCTGAATTTTATAGTCTCTGAGTCTTGGCCGTTGATGGGATTACACGGTGCCAGGGGGGCAGGTGGTGGTTGTGACCCCCGCCTACTGGAATTTGGAGGATCTGGGTGGAGGATGCTCGACTCCAATTTGAGTAGGCTGGGAGATCTCGGCCCCGGAACCCGCGTGGATTTGTCCCTCTGCCAGTACCTTCAGGTGTGCGGAGAGTGGTCTCAGCATGGTGGTGGCTGGTCCTGGAGGTCTTCGGCTGCCGGAGCCCTGGTCGGGGCGGGGAGGAAAGCTCAACCCGCTCCCCTCCAACGGGCCCCGGCGAGGAACAGCCAGGCGTGGGGACAGACTGTTTTGGGGGCAGACCCCAAAACATCAAAACTATGTTTTGAATACACACTTTGAAATAGACACTTCCTCAAAGAAGACATACAGAGGGTCAACAGGTATAGGGAAAAAATACTCATCACTTATCAGGGAAACACAAATCAAAACAACAGTGAGAGGGGGCTGGAGCAATAGTATAGCGGATAGGGTGTTTGCCTTGCACACGGATGCTGGTTAGATTCCCAGCATCCCATATGGTCCCCTGAGCACCGCCAGGAGTGATTCCTGAGTGCAGAGCCAGGAGTAACCCCTGTGCATCGCCAGGTGTGACCCGCCCCCCCCAAAAACAAAACAGTGAGAGAGCGTCACACACCAGTAAAATTGGCAAACATAAAAAAAGTACCAAAAAATCAGTGCTGGTGTGGATGTGGATTGTGGATTAAAAGGAATCCTCATCACATTAGTGGGAATATCAATTAGTTCCACCTCTTTGGAAAACAATATAGAGACTTCTCAAAAGTCTAAGACCCAAGTTTCCAAACAACCCAGCAATTCCACTTCTTGGCATCTATTTTCAAGGACTCCAAAACACTATTTTGAAAAGACATTTATGCCCCTATGTTCACTGAAGCACTATTCACAATAGTCAAGATCTGGAAACAACTCAAATATCTAAGAACAGAGGCCCGAATAGAGAAACCATGGAACATATACACAGTGAGCTACGACTTGGCTATATATATATATATATATAAAAAAAAAAGATGAAATCAGGAGAAGGTTTTGCTACATGGCCAGAATTAGAGGGAATCATACTGAATATAGTCTGAAGAAAAGGGAAAGAAAGAAAATGAGCTCTCTCATGAGTGGGAGATAAACATAAGGGAACAATGAATGCTCAAAGGCATCAGAACCAGAGTTGATGGGCTGGTGTACCTGGAGGGGACCTGAGGCATGGGAGGGATCTTTGGAACATTGGTAGAGGAAAGTGGACACTCTGCCAATAGATATGATGTTGAAACAATATATGCATGAGACTTGAACAGTACCGGGCCAAGTCTTCGGACAGTGGGGAAGGCACTTGCCGTGCATGAAGCCGACCCAGTTTCGATCCCTGGCATCCCGTGTGGTCCTGTGAGCATGGCCAAGTGTAATTCCTGAGTACAGAGCCAGGAATAACCCTTGGGCACTGCTAGGCGTGGCTCAAAAACCAATACAAAAGGGTTGAAGCAATAGTACAGCCGGTAGGGCCTTTGCCTTGCGTGCTGCTGGCTGACCTGGGTTCAATTCGGGGCATCCCATTAGGTCCCCTGAGCAACACCAGGAGTGATTCCTGAGTGCCGAGCCAGGAGTAACCCCTGAGCATCGCCGGTATGACACCCGCCCCCCACAAAAAAAAAAACCAAAAAAATGAATACATAAATTATTTTTTTAAATACTGTACATTATGTGGCTTTAATAAAAATGGAGTGTGTGTATAGGGTGGCGGGGGCAGGGGAGGCAGTGATCTCAAGTCTATCTCCTCGTTTCCCCTTGAATAAACCACCCCCATTTTCATACGGAGCTACTTGTCTGAGTGCAGAGCTCAGCGTGCAATTTGGTGGGTGTTGTGAATAGCCTCGAGTAGCTTTTGTCAAATATTTATTGACCCTCTACCACATAAGCTTCCGGTCTCATGCTGTCTATGGTGCAGTGTAGGAGACACTAATAAGTCTGCTCCTAAACAAACTGAAAAGGGGAGCAAGGGTTATGGCTCAGCAGTGGTGCCCTCGCCTAGTATGTGTGAGGCCCTGGGCCCAAGCCCCAGCACAGCCAACAAGAAGAAAAAAAAAAAGACTCCAAACTAAACAACAACAACAACAACAAAAAATGCCCCTCAGGAAGTGGTGACCCAAGCTGAGATCAAATATAGGGAGAGAAGAGAATGTTCCAGGCAAAGAGAACATCCCGAGTAATGGCCCCTTTGTGGTGGGTGCAGTAGGATGGAGAGAAAAGTATCTCCAAGGAATTGAAAGAACGTGGGAGTGGCTGCAGCTGGGGCAGCAGGGCCAGGGTTACTGGCCCTCCCAGGCCTGACCCACAGCAGCAGGAGAGCCTGGGCTTTTGCCATTGCAGAGCTGAACAAGGATTGGGTTGTCAACAGTGAAGAAGGGGACACTGCGTACTTGCTGGACACAGGTAACATCAGCATGAGTCTGGTCCCAGGTATTGACTATTCAAGTCAGAACTTATCATTCCCTCCTCCCCTGGCCTCTCTGGTTCTGCTTATTGTTCATAGTTTCTCATCTTAGTGAGATGTGACTTTCTTATCTCACAATTCCAGTAGCTCAAGTGAAAAAAAAATCTGCTTGTCGGTATGTATAGCCATAAAGATCCTGAGATTTGAATTTCTGGGGTATTTATTTGGATAAGTGCATCTGAAGCTCTGAGCTGGAGCAATTTGTGAGTCCTTGGTGAAACTTGGGGAAAGGATGAGCTTGCTAGGGGAGGGTAGAGAGTGAAATCAGAGCATCGCTTGGGAGAGTATGTTGCATCTGCAAAGCAAGTTGGGAGGGAGAGACTGGACCAGAGAGAAGTCAGGGAGACCACCTGTAGCCAGAAAAAAAGAAACTTCCTGTTTGTCTTCATTTTTATATTGATGGAAACGAACATTCAAGACATGAGAGCTTTCCCAAGTATATTCAACTTGACCAAAGGAAATGGCTCAGGAGTGTTTTCAGCTAGGGGAGGAAGTTGGATTTCGGAAGCAATCCTGGGGATTAATTTTAGCAGAGTGTGGCTGCCGGCCATTGAAGAAGGTCATTTTACCAGAACTGAAGCAGCAACCAAAAGTTTTTCAAATGACTTGGTGAGAGAACATTTCACCTTTCCTGGGTGAGGCAAAATATCCAGTTAGGTTGGAGACCGGAAAGGCATCCCATGAATAAGCTTCATTTAAGAAAACACTTGGAATGAAGACAACCAAGGGCCGCCTTCGAAGTTCTGCTGGACGCTGACATAGAACTCCAGGAGAAAAGGGGAGTGAGCCCAGCACAAAGGTGCGTCCTGGAAGCCAGGCAGAGTTCAGGTTTTAATCCGTTTGAAATACCTTCCCCTGAAAACCTTTGAGCAGGAAAGAGTTAAGTGGTACAGGGGGGTTCAGATCATAGTGAGGGTTTGTGAGGTAAAGCAAAGGAGATTCAGCTATGGGAGAAGTTCTCAAACTTCAGTGGGGCAGAGGATCAGTTAAGAAACTCTGTCAAAGGATAACCCAGGAATCAGGAGGGGTTGTCACGCTCAAGGCAAGTGCCATACCCCTGGCCTCACTCTCTAGCCCCTACATTTTTTCCCCTCAGGGTTTTTGGCCACACCCAGCAGTGCACTGGGATTACTCCTGGCTCTGCATTCAGGAATGACTCCTGGCGGGTTGGGGGAACCAAACGGGATGAAGAAGCTTCTTGGTGGTGGTGGGGTGGAGCGAGTGGCTCTCCTCAGCTGTATCCATCCGTTCCTTCATCCTTTACATTCCAAATAAGCATTTCTCAATGTCACATAAAGCTGTTCTTCCAGGTTCTACTACCTACAGTTCTTAAAAAAAAAAAAATTGGGGCCAGAGCGATAGTACAATAGGTAGGGTATTTGCTTTGCATCCCATATGCCCTGCATCCCCCTGCATCCCATATGGTCCCCAGAGCACGACCAGGAGTAAGCACAGAGCCCTGAACATCATCGGGTGTGGACCAAAACACAAAATAAAAAATAAAATAATAACTCAACAAGCACAAAAGATATTTAAAGTATTTCGAAAGTAAATCACCAGAGTTTATAAGAGCGGAAGTATAATAATCTTGCATTTATTACTCCTTGAATCCGGCATTTTTTGAATTATTTTTTTGACTGTACAAATATGTAGTTTTTAATCTTCCATAAATTTTAAATTTAAATATTTAAGGTACATCTATTTTATTTCACAAACTGCTTGCTAAAAAAATATTTCAAACTCACAGTTTTTAATCTCTGCTAAATTCATACAAACTTTTAGCCACTTTGTTTAATCTCGGCTGCCAGCACTGAGAGTGCCCCAAGAGGCTGTTTTCCCGGACCGGGCCTCGGAACCTGCCGGTCACACCTACGGGGCGGGGGAGTGGTCACACACAGCTCGGCCCGGCCCCCAAGACACCTCGAGGCGGCGCTGCAGCCCCAGTGCCCCGCCCTGGCCCCGGCAACGAAAAGCCTCAATCACAGCGAGGGTGAGAGGCTGCCTCGGCCAAGGGCCGATTACTATGGTGACTGGCGGACGCGCTGACCAATGACGTGCAGGTACTTGTTTGTTTCCTCCCCGTCGCTCCCCGCCCGAGACAACCGTGACTGACAGCTCGCTGGTGGGGCTGTTACGTAAGGGGCGGGTCCAGAGCGACCCCACCCGAGAGGAACGGATTTGATTGGCAGAAGGGAGCGCTCTCCGCCTAACGCCCCGGAAGAATGTCTGTGACGGACAGGTGGAGCAGCCAGTGGGTGCAGGGAGGCTGGGCGGAAGGGTCTGGGCTCTGGGGCGTGGCCGGGGAGGGGGCGGAGCCCTACGCTGAGAAGCGGGCGGGGCGGGGAAGCAGCCGGGGCCGTCCTGGAGCTGCGGCCGGAGATGCTGTCGGGCCGCGACGGTGCTCGGCAGCCCGGACCCCTGCATTGAAGACACCCGGGGGAGGTGCCCTGTCAGGCCGGCTGGTAGGTACGCGAGAACCCGCGGAGTCCTGCGCCTCGGCCGCCGGCGTCCTCGGGCCCGACATTTGTCCTATGCGCTCTCCCGACTTGGCGGCGACGGCGGCCGCGCTGGGACACGGGGGCGGGGCCGGGCACCTGTCCGGCTTCGCAGGCACCTGCTGCGCGGGGAGCCGGGGCGAGCTGGCTCGGCCGGGCCCGAGGGAGGCGGCTCCGGAGCCCGCCCTGCCCTCCCCGGCCCGGTCCCCACGCCCGGCTCTGCCCCGCAGCCCCGGCCGAGGGCTGGGCTGCGGGGGGCGTCACTGAGCCCCGGCGCTCCTCCGTCCCCTCCTCCCCCCACCTCCTCCAGCCCCCTGCCCTCTCGGCAGAGGCGCGCGCGGGTCCTCGGGCGGCCTGGAGCTCTGCGAGGGCCAGGACGTGGCCGTGCCTGACATCACCCCGAGACAGGTTTGTCCAGATTCCCTGCGTGCGTGGAAATGGTTTTCCGCCCCGGGCGCGGGGGACCGGTCCCGGCTGCCCTCGGCGAGCTGGGACCCGGGGCCGAGGGTGTTCTTGCCTAGTTTCTCTGGGACTCCCCGCTTCCGCGCCCCTCCCCACGCCCCAGACCTCCCCATCCCCTCTTCTTGGGGGAAACTGCAAAGCTCCGTTTCTGGGTGATGCGGGGCGGGAGGGGAGTGCCGATGGACCGCTCGCTCGGCTGCAGCAGCACCCAGCTAGTTGGGGTTCGTGCCTTGTTGGACGGGTCGTTCCTGCAGGTTCAGGGATACCTGCTTGGCAGCTGGACCCTACGGAGGACGTCGATTTTTGTCTTGCTCGCAGGGTGGAAATCCCGGAATTGTTTTCATCCTGTCTGGGGCGTGTCCTGGGTTCTCCCATTCACCTGTCACTCCTCTGGGATTCCGCGGGGCTCCGTGCGCCTGGGTGGGCTGGCGGTGGAGTGGGGGGGTGGGAGGTGGGGGGTGAGGGGTACGGAAAGTGCGTTCCAAGTCATCCAGACCCCCGTGTCGCTGCACGGGAAGCAGCCGACAGTGCCTCCAGCTTAGTAAGACGATGACCTGGGGACAGGTTTGATTGGATTCTTAAAAGGCGACAGTATACAGAGTAGGACGCCTGCCTTGCTCGCAGCCCACCAGGTTAGATCGCTGACATCTCCATTAGGTCCTCGAGCACGGCCAGGAGTGATCCCTGAGGTCAGGGCCAGGAGTGATCCCTGAGGTCAGGGCCAGGAGTGATCCCTGAGGTCAGGGCCAGGAGTAAGCCCTGAGTACCGCCTGGAGTACAACCCACCCTCCCCCTCCAATAAAAAGGAGAGGAGAGAGGGAGAGCTGGCCATGGAATCATTCATTAGGTGTTAAGAGATAGAAGGGGCCTGACAGGTGCTGATTGTCCCTGGATACACCTGTAATTCATGCCCTGTCCTCAGCCCTCCACCCCCAAGCAGTTCTTTTCTCGAGGACTGCCAGGTGCGACTACCACTGGACCCACTGTTTTCATTTGGTTCAAACAGGAACAGCTCCCACACGTTTGATGGCCCATTTACACCTGCATCATCGGGCACCTTTAAAGACAGATTGGCAGAGCCCTGTTGCAACTTACTGGATGTAAGTCAACAGGTTAGTGGAAGAACCAGGATCCCCGGGTCCTTTGATTTAATTACTGGGTGGCACGATGTCTTGGAAAGCAAAACAAAGTAATAGGCAGGGCACAGGACTTCATACTCACCCCTGGGAACCACGCAGTTCAGACAGAAAAACAGATTTTTTGCAGAACAGAGAGCATGTACTACAGGATTCTTTAATGATTCGCTTATGTTGCTCTTTTGACCCTTTTCCCCGCAGCCATGTGATGGGAGCGGATAGGGATTCGGGGAAGGAAGCTCCGTTTTGAACAGAAGTGAGCCTGGGGGAAGGCAGCCGAGCAGAGAAGGTGCTATCCTTCGGGCAGTGTAGCTTTTCCTTTGGATTTTTTATGACTGACCCACTGACTTTTGTGATCGTGGAGGCACACTTTCTTATCCACGACCTAAAGCTTTGAGGTCCAGGTTGTGTTTGGGAAATCTCTTTTTGCACTCTTCTGCCCATGCGTCCAAATGGTTTAGCAATTCCTTAAATGCCTAATCCTGTAGTTCCCACACTTAAAAGCAGATGAAAAGGGGGTTTCTTAGCAATGACTGGACCCACTTATCCCTTGACTTAAATACTTTACCTTTTTCTTTCTTTTTCTTTTGCTACTGGGGAGAAGACAACTCATTTAAAGTGTGTTCCTTTGGGAGGGCCAGAGTCCAGAGTTTAAGGCACTAGCTTTGCACACAGCCAACCCGGTTTCAATCCCTGGCAACTTGTATGTTCCCCCAAGCCCATCAGGGGTGATCCCTGAGCTCAAAGCCAGGAATGTGCCAGAAGTCAGTCCTAAGCGCAGCCAATTTTTTTTTTTTAAATCGCTCCTTTGGAACTTTCATTCCCATATCCCTGAGAACAGATAACTTTTCAAATATGTGGGAACAGTGTATTCTGGACCCAGCTTTCCCAGCAGTTAAATGCCTAGATAGCATGTAAGTGGTAACTGTTGTCGTCCATATCTCCTGTGTTTCTGGCACCAAAGCCAAACCATGCCATTAAATATTCAGAATCCTGGCCAAGGTCTCACACAGACTCCTGTTGGTTTTTTTTTTTTTTTTAGGTAGGAAAGCAAACTGGAGCCATAGACTAGGGAGGGAAGGGATATTGAGGGAAACGATTCAGCCAAAACTTTCTTTCTCCAAGGCTTTTACAACGATTTATGATGCAATGTTATGTTGTGGTTCTGCAAATCCTAACTGTGAGATTTAGGTGGTTGCCCTTCTCGTGCCCTTTTTGTGATGCCCGGTTTCAAACAAAGGGCATCACCCGTGCAAGGTAAGTGCTCAAATGCATAGCTGTTATCCCAGCCCCCGAGACTTGGCTCTTAACTGTCTCAGAAGTCTTCAACAGTCGGTGTTAAGTGTGTTTCGGTGTTTTTCCATCTTGTTTTAAGGTAAAGTGAATTCTGACGACAGAAGAGTTTGATGACACAGACTACCAAATTTCTTTGGAGAACACGTTATGAACCCTTTCTGGAGCATGTCTACAAGCTCTGCTCGCAAAGTAGGTTATAATTGATACCTCCAGTGAGGAGACTCATTTGCATCAGAATAGAGGCCAAAAGAATTCACACATGATTGCCTGTGTTCTTTAAAAAAAAAAAAACTGATCTCTCTAGTTTAGGTTTTACTTTGGCGAAGTAATTATTTTATCAGTTGAATTCCATGTCTGAGACTGAGATCAGATCTCAAGTAGAAATTATTCTATGTGTGTGTACGTATGTATTTATACATAGATTTCACTCCCGGCAGTCTTTGGGGCTATCACAGCTACATAGATGTTCTCAGGGGTCCATGCAGAGTAAGGGGTTGAGCTCAAGATCTCCCATCTGCAAACAAGACATGTGTTCTACCACATAAGCCAAGCCCTGTCCCAGACTTCTAGTGGTATTTTGACTTGTTCTATTTATATATGATTAAATCTGACACATTATTGAGGTAGTTTTTCTACTCAACTGGAAGATTCCTGGGGCTAGAGAAGCCTTGGGCAAAGGCCAGCCCAATGTTCTCAAGTCATACTTCAGAGCACTGGGTTAATTTTTCTTAAATTGTTTTTTACTTGTAAAAAAGAATTACTTTTTCATTTTAGGGCTGTTTAAAATATACAAACAATAAAATGAAAATAACCTTTAATTCCATCTCTAATAGAACATCTCTGTATATATATACACACATACACATACACACACATATATATATATTTTTTAATGCATGTGACATAAAACTTTTAATACAGCCGGTTAAGCAGCTTAGATTGTATACTTGAGCGAAGAACAACCTGGGAAGATGGTATTTTAGTCTTTGACTCATTTAGATCTCTTTGACCAAGGATGCCTAAGAGTTTAGGTTCCATTCATTAGGGACAAGATCAAAATCAGACCCAAGGAAGCCAGCAAGTGTTTTATTCTTTGTAAACCCAGTGTTACTATTAGGAAGTGACTAATTTCAGTAGTCTTTATCAACATTTCCCAACCAGGGGTTATTATGGCCCCCTGTGTTCCCCAAGTGTATTCCAAGGGGCCCAGAGGTGAAAATCCCGTAATGGGAGATTAGGAAGCCAACCTGTAGCAGTCACAGGAAGGAAACCAGCTTTGAAGGGGCCACTGTCAGGAACAGGTTGAGAAACGCCTGGCCTATGTTACTTATATTGACCCTCTTCATACCTGAACCTTCCAGAACATCTAGGTGCTGGGGAACTTTTCTAGTCTTGTTTAATTGTTTAACCCCACCCAACCCTCTTTTGGGAAGGCACGAGGAGAAATTATTTATTGTTGTCCCAATTAAGTCCTGTAAGTCCTGCCTTTATTTCTAACTAGGATGCAGCTAATGCAAGTTTCCTAATATTTCAGTCTTGCTTTGGCATTGTTCTGATCTTCACAATAGCCGGCCTGTTAAAAGGCCTTTCGATTCATCTTGATCACCATGCTAGAATGTACTTGTAAAGAGTATAGCAGGTCTATCTTGTAATTTAAGAATCCTCCTGCTGGGGACTGGGAGATAGTACAGTGGATATGGCACATGCTTGCGGGTCTGGGTTTGATTCTTAGTACTGGATGGTTCCCCCAGAGCACTGCCAGCTGTGGCCCTGGAGGCCCCCAGCACCACTTGGGTGTCCTGGATAACCCCTGGCACCGCAGGGCCTAGCTGTGTGGATCCTTTCAGTGAACCACCAGCCCAGTCAGCTGAGAGTCGCCAGGGGGCCCTTGGGCCTCTTACACCCTGCTTGGGATGCTCCACCAGAGAGTAAGGGATCATCCTAACACGTTCTCACCACTTCATCTTGAACAGAGGACTGATGGTGAAGAGAAGACATTAACAGGGGACGTGAAAACCAGCCCTCCGCGCACTGCTCCAAAGAAACAGCTGCCTTCTATTCCCAAAAATGCTTTGCCCATAACTAAGCCGACGTCTCCTGCCCCAGCCGCACAATCAACGAACGGCACGCATGCTTCCTATGGCCCCTTCTACTTGGAGTACTCTCTGCTTGCAGAATTGTGAGTCCTTTCCCTGCAGTTCCCTTCCCTTTGTTGTTATACGTCCGTGGTGCAGCCGAGGCTACACTTGTGGCTCGGGATTACCCACGTGGCAGTGCCGGGGACCACTTCACCTTAGAGCTTAGTCCCCTCGCTGCCTTATCCGTCTCCACGAGCACAGAGTGAAGGTTACTGCTAGTGGTCAGGCTGTTGGCTCTTCATGAGGGCCTGAGCAGCATCACACAGTACCCTCTCCCAAAACATGATGAGTCATATTCAGAGCTTGGATAGATAAGATTTAAAGGCTGATGTGTTTCTTTAATCTCTGTGTTTGTTTGGGAGAGGAAGAAATTAAGATTGGTTAAGCTATTAATTCAGGAAGTCAACAAAATCTAATTTTGACCTACCTTTCTATCAGGAGGATTTGGTTGAGGATTAGACCCAGGTGGAGGCTTGTGTTCCATTCTGGTTACCCACCAACAGGAGGGCATCAGGAGCAGCAATGGAAGGAACTGGAGCAACTGTCTTCCCCCCCCCCCCCTTTTTTTTTTGGCATTTTGGGTCACACCCAACAGTGCTCAGGGATTACTCCTGCCTTTGCACTCAGGAATTACTCCTAGCGGTGCGTGGGGGACCAAATGGGATGCCAGGGATTGAATCCGGGTCAGCCTCGGGCAAGGCAAACGCCCTACCCGCTGTACTATGGCTCCAGCCCCTGTCTTCCTAGTTTTGAAGTGTGCTGTTTAGAAAGGGAATTTGATTTTTCCTCTACAACCGCACAAAAGCAGAACCACACAAGCATCAGGAAGTTATCAAAATTTGGGTTCCCCATAGGGAAGGACTTGTCACCGGACCTATTGAATGTCGGTGGCTGACCACTTCTGCAGAGCAAGGAGGGATGACCCAGCACCCAGCCCTTAGAGGGGCTTAATGTTAAAGAGCTTAACTATAACTCACAGACTTCAGACCAACTCACAGGGGCGTAACGAGTGCCTGCAGGTAGCATTTGACTGAACCATTTGTTCCAGACAGACATACTGGAGAGTTCTTCAGTGATTCCTTTGTACTTGGAGCCATTTTTAAAGTATTCTTGAGCCCTGCCTCACTCTCCTAATGTTGTAATGGTTAGAGGGCCCAAGACCCATGTGTCACTCGTTGGGTGTCACTTTGTAGCAGGGTTCTTTAGCCTGAGAATGGAGGCCTTGTGTTGGAGGCTGAGCAGTGAGCAGGACAGACTTCTATTGTTATCTTAACTCTGCTGTCTGTATTAGAGCACAAAATAGCCTTTCTGGCAAACCTCACAGTAGTAGCTACATCTGCCAACCATGCTGCTATTGACATGCTGAATATTAGTGACTTAAATGGAGTGACGATTTGGCTGGGATATGGTTCAAGTGGTAGAGCACAGGCCCTCGCAGGTGTAAAGCTCTTGAGCTGGATCCCTGGCACTGCGTGGCCCCAGTGTCTTCTGAACACTCTGGGCCCAAGTGCCAGTAGTGTGGCCCTGTGAAGTATGATGGCAAATAGATGAGAAAACAACCACTGGGGGCCAGAGAGTATAGGGGGCCAGGGTGCTTGCCTTGCATGCTGCTGACCCCAGTTTGATCCCTGCACTACACATGATGCCCTGAGAATAGCTCAGAGTGGTCTATGCAAAGCTCTGCACTCAGCCGGATGTGGCTCAAAACAACCAAAACTGGGGCGGAGGGGAACAAAAAACAATCAGCTAAGACCACATAAGGCCCTATTGCTTCTCAGTAGAAATCATAATTGGCAGGTTAGTGTGTTTAATAGGTTAACATCGTTGTTTTTTTTTGTTTTTTGGGTTTTTTTTTTTTTTTTTTTTGCTTTTTGGGTTATACCCGGCAATGCACAGGGGTTACTCCTGGCTCTGCACTCAGGAGTTACTCCTGGCGGTGCTCAGGGGACCATATGGGATGCTGGGAATCAAACCTGGGTTGGCCACATGCAAGGCAAACACCCTACCCACTGTGCTATCGCTCCAGCCCCTTAACATTGTTTTTTCGAAGTTAGATCATAAGCCTGAGTTCTTTACTCATAGAAGCTGCAGTGGAAAAGAACAGAGCAGAAAGGTTGTTGGTAGGTGACTGGGTCCCAGAACTAGTGTGCCACGTGGCAGGACATTCAGCTCCACTCACATTACACCCCGTCTGTCACACCAAGGTCCGTAGATTTCAGGTTTCTGGCTTGGGAGGTAAATGTAGGAATGGTGCCATGAAGGACTCTCACCACAGAAATTGGAACGTGGCTGCCTGCCACATGCCAGGTGTTGCCACTTAAAATGGCCCATGTAACAACAGTGCTATGGAATTTTAATCTATTCTCAGATACCTAAAACTGTATCTTCAAATGGCTTTTGAATATATGTAGGTGAGTTCTACTCACAGGTATAAATTGGTAATTTTACAAGCACTATTACCTTAAACTTAATGTCCAGAACTTAGCAGTGTTCAGATTACTTGCAGGTTGGTTTCCAGGATTGGTGGAAGTTGATTTCTGGGAAAGCTCATCTCTTTGTATCTCTCTGTTTAACTCTGATTTCTTTTTTGGGCTACACCAGCAGTGCTGGGGGGGAGGGGAAGTGGTTGGGGGAGGAGGCCCTGAGCACTCCCGGAGTTGCTTTGCACTGCCAGGGCTACATCCACAGCGGCTCGGAGGCCATCGGGTACCAAGGATCAAACCCAAGGTGCTTTACCGCAGGTGCCATATCACTGGCCCTGGTTTCATTTCTTAAGCTGGTGCCATTTTTTTGAGGGTCAGGTGGTTTCTGCTTTAAATCTCAGGCACTTGGAGTAACAAAGCCAGTGAACTGGCAGCAGGTGAGACTGTGCTGAATCGGCACATGTGCCTGGGACATCAGATTCTGCCTCTTGTGAAAACTAATCCTTACAAAATGAATGTGCTGTTCACATGCAAATCGTCTCATTATTGCTTTTGTTCCAGTACCTTGGTTGTGAAGCAGAAGTTACCAGGAGTCTATGTGCAGCCGTCCTACCGTTCTGCATTAAGTAAGATTCCTTCTTTTCAGCATATTTTGTTTTTCTCACACAGGGAGAGGGCTTGAAGTGTTCTTATTTTCTCCTGCAGTGTGGTTTGGAGTAATATTCATTCGGCATGGACTTTACCAGGACGGTGTATTTAAGTTTACAGTTTATATCCCTGACAACTACCCAGATGGGGACTGCCCAGTAAGTAGCCCGGCATCATTTGGTAATCAGCAAAGAGGGCCCAAATAGCAGGACTGGAAAAGGTGACTCCACTGATTCCCAAATAAATGTCTACTGAATCTCTTGCCATGCCCGCCTCTGCCTTGGTTCTAACCAAACTGATATCAAACAGGTACCAAACAGAGAGAAACCCTGCAGAGTGTACCAGGAAGGCTGGAGGCTGTTCTGTGGCACTTCATATATGAGAAGGAGTCTCTGCATGTCTGTAGAGAAAAGTGCATCTGCCTGTTTCCTGTCAAAGTTTCATGGGGGAAAAAAATATCCCCGTTCAGGCAGCTCTTTGAATCAGACGACTGGCTTATCCTGAAGCTTTCTGCTACAACTGTCTGTCTGGGACTAAAACTCCGTTATTTCCACTAAAGATCATGTCTTCCTTTAACTATAGCGCTTGGTGTTTGATATTCCCGTCTTTCATCCGCTAGTCGATCCCACCTCCGGTGAGCTGGATGTGAAGAGAGCATTTGCAAAGTGGAGGTAAATCTGGGAATGTTTTCTTCTGTCTTCTCCCTTTTTTGATTCTATTATTCGGGGGCGGGGGAGGCGCACACCTGGCAGTACTCAAGGGCTTGGGGGGCCCTGCATGTCAAGTGTGTGCGCCAGTATCATCTCTCCAGCCCAGTAGGTGAAGTTTTCTTTAGTGATCCATCAGTAAAAGGAAGCGTCCTGTTTCCCTACAGGCGGAACCATAACCATATCTGGCAAGTATTAATGTATGCAAGGAGAGTCTTCTACAAGATTGATACGGCAAGCCCCCTCAACCCAGAGGCCGCAGTACTGTACGTGACTTTGCTTTTGTTTGTTTTAGATTTGAAAATGCAGTTCAGTCAGTTCCATTGGTAACTTTTTAATTTAAACTTTGACACAGGTATGAAAAAGACGTCCAGCTTTTTAAAAGTAAAGTGGTTGACAGTGTTAAATTGTGCGCAGCACGTTTGTTTGACCAACCTAAAATAGAAGACCCCTATGCAATTAGGTGAGTATTATATCTTACATAAATACATGCACTCTGCAGTACAATATAGTCCCCCTTGTCAGGTGGTCTTAGATCTGGAACTTAAAAAATATGGCCACATCTTTGTAATGTGATCAGACATAAAAACTTTTTTCTGTTTTGGGGCTACACATAGCGGTGTCCAAGGTAACTCCTGGCTCTGTGCTTGGGGACCACTGTGGTACCAGGGACTGAGCTTGGGTTGGCTGCATTAAGGCAAATGCCCTATCTGCTGTACTATTGCTCCAGCTCCCAAACATCAGAACTTTTTCAGTGAACAATTTTTATCCAGCTTTTTCAAGAAACAATTTTAAATAGCTATCTGAAAGAGGGGCCTATGAGATAGTACACAGGTTAAGGAGCTTACCTTCTATGCAGCCGGCCCTAGTAAGAATCACCGGGAGTGAACCCTGAGCGCAGAGCCAGGAATCAGCCCTGAGCATCACTGGATGTGGTAAAACAGTCAAATCAATCAATCAATATCCAATCCTGGCAACAATCAGCTTTTGTGAAAGGAGAGACACTTGAATAGTGGATTCCTGTAGCACTCTGAACACTGACTGGGGCTGGGAGGGGGGGGGTAGGCTGGAGGGATACTGACTTGGTTCTCAGTATAGATAGATTTACCCCTTTGAACATATGGGTACTGCTGGGGACACAGCATACCACCAGAGGTTAAGAGTGTGTACTTAGCAGAAAACATTGGTTGGCTGTTGCACTTACTGGCTTTACTGTCCCTAGCAGTTATCTAACTGTGCCTCGTGTTCATCTTTATTCCCTTTACCCACTCTTTTTATTGTTGCAATAACCAAGGGCCACACGCAAGCTTGGTGGAGATGCCTAAGCATATTCCGATACCAGGGCCACACTCCTGGGCATGGTGCTCCTACATTGTGGTGTTAGCCAGGAGTCATGCCCTTTTGAGTACCTTTTGTTCCTTTCACACCCTTTGTAGTAATCACCCCCCTCCCCCCCCCCCCACACACACCTGTGCATGTACTGGAGACTGTGCACTGTGGTGGTCCGGGGCCCCAAGTAACAGAGCTCTCAGCACAGACTCCAGTGAATATATGTGGGTGACACGAGGAATCTCATAGCCTTCAGCTTGTAAGGTAGATGTTTTTCCTCCAGACTTTTCCCACAGCCACTTTAGCAGTGGTGGTGAGGTTTAAATGAACTAACCTATCTACAAGTGGACTGTAAGTTATAGTTCTATGTGGAAAAAAAATTATGTAACATCTAAAACTTACATGCTAGCAAACTGATTAATGCTTGGTAGGGGGACTATGGAGAACTGTCTCATTAAAAATGGAAGTCATTTTTCCATTTTTCCCAAGGGGGCTGTTCAGTAGTAAAGTGTGCTTTCTACATATAGGATTCTGTCCATGGCACAAAAGATCCCCCCCAAAAAAAGAAAGAATTTGGGCCCAGAGCGATAGTACAGTGGGTAGGGTGTTTGCCTTGCTTGTGGTCGACTGGGGTTCCATCCCCAGCATCCCATGTATGGTCCCCTGAGCACCGCCAGGAATAAATCCTGAGTGCAGAGTCAAGAGTAATGCCTGAGTATCGCCAGGCGTGGCCCAAAAGATGGGGGGGGGGGGGGGGAGACATTTAAATTTAGTAAAGAAGTCAAAAGCAATTCTAAGAATATGTTTCTCTTTAAGCTTTTCTCCATGGAATCCTTCTATACATGATGAAGCCAGAGAAAAGATGCTGACTCCAAAAGTGAGTGCATAACTTTTTTGTTTTGTTTTTGGGCCATACAGGGATCATTCCTGGCAGGGCTTCAGGAACTATATTGGGTGCTGGGGATTGTACCTGGGTCAGCCTGCATGCCAGACAAATGCTCTACCAATGTACTATTTCTCAGACCCACATAATTATTTTTTTTAAAGCCCAAATTTTCCCTTTCAAAATGTCTTTTGGAGAGGGATGAAAATTTGTACAGTGCTAAAATTTCACCAGTCTTTGTTTAATGTCTGTTTCTGATTGTGCCTAGAAGAAGCCTGAAGAGCAGCACAGTAAAAGTGTTCACGTTGCTGGCCTGTCCTGGGTAAAGCCTGGCTCAGTACAACCTTTCAGTAAAGAAGAGAAAACGGTAGCAACTTAAGAGCGGGTGATTCTGGTGCACTGTGCACTTTCCTGCTGGACTCTGGCCTCGTTAAAGCTGACCAATGGCAAAGGATTGCCTGAAGAGTAAAAATGTGTGAACAATGACTGATACCAGTGTTGTCCATGTATGCTTAGGTTCTAACAGCAAATTCTGGAAAGCTCTTTGAAGTAATGCGTCACTTCTGTCAGAAGTGACTTTAGGGTGGTTGTCTAGTTAGTACTCCAAATTTTTGGGGATGTTGAGGTTTAAATATTTTTCTGAATATAATGCGAAAGGTAAGTTACATTCATTTAAACTAATGAGTAGACAGTCCAGCACTATCTAATGATTTTTAAATTGGTGGTTTCAGTTGTATGTATATTAGGATATGAATATGGAAAAGAGAAATAGAGAAAGCAGGTCCCATAGCTTTTAGCACTTTTAAGTGGAAAATCATTTGACTCTCAGTTTTCAGCAAACTGTCTTACTGATTTGAAAACTGCTATCACTGAGGTACATATGGGTGGGTGAGAAGAAACCAGAACACTGTTCATAGTTTTTTTTTTTTCTAAAGCAAATTACTTAATGTATTTTTCTGGCAGGAGGGAGAAAGTGCTAAGGCGGTTTCTAATGAAGTCAGATATTTAAACGATGAATGACTAATGTGTTTTGTAGAGATAAAATAAATCAATAAATGATCATCTTTTGTCATTTATGAAGAAATAATATAACTAATCAAGTATTAATTTATAAATGCTTTATTGAAAAATACATTTATTCTCATATAAAATTACAGTAGCAGTATCTTGAGAGGTTTTATAAATATTTTTGCAGAAACACTATTCTAATTGAACAGTGTAAGTTCCATATTTCAGAGCAATATGAAGTTACCTAGTAACTTTGTTTATATTGATTCAATTTACAATTGAATTTTCTCCCTAATAAAATTATTCATCCAACCTTAAAACTGCTAGAATAGTGATTAATAAATGTATATGTAGATAATTGAATACCTGTTAAATAACATTTTCTAATTTGTATAAATGGTACTATGTACTAAAAATCTAAATGCTCCAACCTATTTTAACTGTCAGGACCACACCCAAAGATTTAAATATCACGTCTTTTTGGATAACTATCTCCTACAGAAACAAGTCATAATTTTTTCATATTAATCTCCTTATTTCAACTTGATTTAAAATATTGGCTGATGATCCCTACATAACAAAAACCAGGAGAATTTAAAACATAGGCCCCAATGGTGGCGACTGGGGCGTTAACAGTCTTGAAAAAGTACAAATGCATTAAAGAAGACATTGTTTATCTTAGAAGATTTGTACTTAATAAAGTTCACATTGTAGAAAGTGCCATCGCAAATATACAGCAAAATCTGGGTTACAAAATCATGCTTATGACAGCCCTAAAGTGCCTCTTCTTATACAAGTTCACTCACACATTGCACACTTAACAATCAAGCACTTATCACATTGTACCACATCTAATGCGGAGAGGAAAGAATTACACAAAGGGAAAGGGAATTGGGGCTAGTGACTCTGGGACTCTTGTCTGGACTCCCTCCCATGTTTCAGAAATGCAAGTCTTGCATTCCTATGAAATGTTTGAGGATAAAATACCTACTTTGCTTCTTACGAGCACCACAGCTCACCAGAAAACCAGGTAGCCCTGGAGCATATCAAAAGCCTCTCATACACATATCTGAACATACTTTCTTGGCAGTACATATAAACAGTTTTGCCAAAAAAATTAGAACAGTCCATGATGGAAAGCACTAAATGATAGGAGAAAAAGGCAGGTGGGTGAGTAAGAATATCCTAAGGACATTAGAAGGATAAAGGGGGAAAAGCCCCATAATTTAGCATGCATTAAATGATGCTGCTAAACAGAGTATGAAAAGATAGTTTCAATACAACAGACTAACCTCAGTGGGAACCTCGGTCATTAGCTACATCTTGGAGACGGCGTAGTAAGGCAGAATGATTTTCTGGGCAAATTCGTTTCGCAGGCGATTCACTTCCATCTTCCAAAAGAATCCCTCTCTTTTTGGTTGGAGTTTCTCCTGTCCGTATCATACTGTTGATTTCTCTCAATCTCTAAAGTGGGGGAAACATACAAAAACTTTCAAATGGAACCTGAAATGTGTCAATTTATCTTAAGGAATTTGAACATCCTGGGCTGAAGTGATAGTACAGTGGGTACGGCGTATTTGCCTTGCACATGGCCAACCCAGGTTCAATCCCCAGCATCCCATAAGGTTCCCTGAACATGCCAGGAGTTATTCCTGAGTGCATGAGCCAAGAAGGTGTGAACCCTCCCCCCTCACACACACACAAAAAAAAAAAGCAGGAAAAAAAAAAGAATTTGAACATCCTTACAGTGGAAAGAACTAAGTTTTATATCCTTCTGGTTTTACCTCTTTACTGACTGTACTATCTGGGATGAAGACAGATTTACTCCAATTCTTTAATAAACTCCAGAACAATTTTTTTTAACAACCCTAGGGATAAAACCCAGGATTTTACATGCAAGGCAAATGCTCTACTACGGAGCTACATCCAGGGTCCAGAGAGGATTTTATTTTTGAATCTCCCAAGCAGTGCCGAGGGTCCCAGGACCCATTGCTGGCAATACTTGGCCTGGCTATGCAGGCCTAAATGTGCAGTGCTCAGGCCCTTGATACAGTGATGCTTGGGCTGGATGGTGCTCAGGGGTCATGGGGTGGTGGGTATTAGATGTGGGGCCTCTGTACAAAAAGCAGGTATTCTAGTCCCTTGGGCTGTCTCTGGTTCCCAGAGGTGATTCTGATGCATACTTGCCTACAATTTGAGTTTACAAATTAGATTAAAAGGGGAAAAAAGTTACAAAACTGATTTTCAACCAGTGGTCTGCAGGCCAGTGGTTGAGCATCACATGGTTATGCTTTATTTAGTGACTTTGTACACTGCTTTTTCTCTTTAAGAAAAATCATTACTTCATAAATAGCATTATGCCCTTTTCTCCATTTATTACTCAATTCTTAAGAACCATTAATGGAAATTTCATGAGAAATTATCCTGAATTCCCTGAGACATGCATTGTAGGTAACTTATTCGTATGATTTAGAATAGCAATGTAGCACTGTTCTCCCATTGTTTGATTTGCTCGAGCGGACACCAGTAACATCTCCGTTGTGAGACTTCTTGTTACTGTTTTTGGCACATCAAATACGCCACAGGGAGCTTGCCAGGCTCTGCTGGGCGGGCGAAATATTCTCAGAAGCTTGCCGGGCTCTCTGAGAGGGATGGAGGAATTGAACCAGGGTTGGTCGCATGCAAGGCAAATGCCCAACCCGCTATGCTATCACTCCAGCCCATGATTTAGAATATGAATAGAAACAGGGTTAGGGAGACAATATAGCAATAAGGCACTCTGCATGCACCTGGCCTGGGTCCAATCCTCAGCACCCCACATGACCCTCCAAGCCCCGTGAGGTTTGATCCTTGAGTGCAGCCAATGTGCCCCCAAATTCAAAGACAAAATATATTAGTAGTTATATATTGTCCTTGGGAGACCTGACAATATAGGCAAATTATTTCCTGTGTTCTGTATTCATTTGAGGAATCCTGATTGAAAAACATTGTGAGAATTCCTCTCTTTTTGGCCCACATCCAAATTTCTAGGTCAGCTATCACACTGTTTTCTGGTTTAAAAAATATGTTTGCCTTACATGGACAAGGCCCCATATTTGATCCCTGTTAACCAAAAACAAATTTTTTATGTTCTGCTTTATTGTTCATATTTCCTAAAGGAAAGCATACTAAACATATATATTTAAATGCCTTTAAGATAAAAATTTCACACACAGGAAATTAGAAAAGCAATGAATCGTGACCATTATCCTACCTCAACAAATTTAGCCAGTTTGATTTGATCTCTAATCTTTTTCATTTATCATGCTCCAATTATTTTAAAGCAAGTCTTACACATTTTATTCACAATATTCACATTTTTAGAAGAATTTTCTAATGGTTTTTGGGGGATTATATGTAGTGCTGGGGGGTGGGGGCAGGGGCTCCAGGCAATTCTCAGCTAAGTGGTCCAGTGGGTGTGGTGTTGCTGGAGCTCTGGGAATGGGAGTGGCCCGGGCTACCCTGGGGCCTTCAGGGCAGTGCCTGCTGATGTGTGGGCACTGGGAGAGTGGGTTGGGGGTCAAACTGGTATAAACACGTAAGGCAAGTCCCGTTTAATAATATAGTTTTAAATAAAATCAACTTTTTCTTGTTTTACGGGTTTTTTGTTTGTTTGGGCCACACCATGCGATGCTCAGGGGTTACTCCTGGTTGGGTCTGCACTCAGGAATTACTCCTGGGAGTGCTTAGGGGTCCATATGGGAACCCAGGTTGGCTGCATGCAAGGCAAATGCCACTATCACTGTGCCCCCCACCCAAATCAGTTTTGTTATCAGCACATGTACTTTTAAGAGTATGTTTCTTTGACCCTTTCTTTCCTACACCTGCCATCTTTAGTCTTTCACATGAATATTTTTTAAATTGTTAATCATATATTATTTGTATATTTCATGTACTATATGATATACAAGTTATGTAAGTATAGACCTTGCTATACAAAAGCACATTTAGCATATTAATACATTACACATTGGTGCTGTGCATATATAATTTATATACTATACACAATAGCTTAAACACATTGTTCTTTTATTTTGGGTGCTCAGGGAACCATTCCCCTGGAATCAAACCCAGGGCTCTTATGTGCACTCCCGCCCTCTGGAAATCACTAACTTTTATCCTTACCTAGTCCCCAGGAAGTCACTGTTGTTCTGAACAATTCTGGCAGCTGTGTATCCTGTTCTGTTCTGGAATGAGCTCATTATATTAAAAAAATCAAAATTGTGTATTTTAAGGACATTTCTCAACTGCAGGCCATGGAGGCAGTACCTTAGGGTAGTCCCAGGGCACCACAGCGTAAGACTGGGGTGCAAACTGGTAGGTCAGTGGGGGAAAGGTCAGAGGGGACCATGTTCAAAGGAAGTCGAGAAACACTGTTCTAGGCAGTTCTTCATAACTTACTCAACAAGCTGTAACAATCCACTGAAACTTCAGTGACTAGTGTTATCTGACTTGATCTTGTGTGGTATCAGATCATTCTTTTGATAGTATAAATATTAGGATGGTTGATTCAAGGACCCAACGTGCTTTCTGTTTGTAATATTCTTCCCTGACCTTTAGTCACTAAAATCATCTATTTTATCATGATGACAAATATTTCCTCCAAACAACAGCCTAATATTACCCATCATCAATTACTGGGAAACTCACAATTCTGTGAATTCTTTAAAAACTTCCCATGAAATAATGTAGAGGCAGGACTAAATGCTACTGAACACTTAATGATTTTTGTATAAAAAGTTTTTTTATGTAAGGTAAATCCAGCCTGATTTATTTAAAAATTACTTCCATGTAACTAACAAAAGGACACTGTAAAAATTTGTTCATTCCCAAAAATTCCTTCATTGATAATTAACCCAGTCCAACCAACCACTGATGTTTCCTATCATATTTGCCTTTTTTTTTCCCTTTATTGTATTTTATTTTTTTTTAAAGTTGTAGATTTACAATTTTTTGTGCTTTGGTTTCAATTATACAATGATCAGATACCCATCCCTCCACCAGTGCCCATTTTC